ATACACCCATATATATATTTGTATAAGCATAGAAAATTTCCATGAAGATACCTAAAAACTGTTATCCCTCCGGATGGGGGCTAGTAATCGGGGATGGGCAGAGACTTATTTTTCACTATATACACTTCTGCAGTATCAGAAAGCTTATACACACACTAGAGCAGGACCAAAGATATTATTAGAATTCAGAAAAACCTTGATTAGCAAAACTATCAACATATGAAGTGACTGATTCCTGACATAGCCTCCGTCAAGAGCTAAACACTCCTGAAGGCCGTGATTCCATCTCTGTGCCCCTGCCCCAAAGGACGGCGTGTACCTTGATGTACCCTATGTCAACACAGTACTTCTGGAATCCTTAAGGGCCCCAAACCACGTTCCCCTTGCGCGTTCTCTGAGCCCTGGCAACAGAAAGACGGCTAAAGGGGGACAATCTGGGCTGCAGCGTGGACGCGGTAAGGTTTCCCAGGATGTCCTCAGGGGACCACCCTGGCTACCCTCGAAGAATGAGGAGGTGCACTGTCAGGATGGAAAAAAATTCCTTGGCACACCTTTTCTGGTCTTTTTTGTTGCAATAGAGTTTTTTGGTTTTTAAAAACACTTCTTTCTAATAACTCGCCCAGTGGGACTCAGAAGAATCTAGCGGTCTATTCCTGAAAGCTCCCAGCCACTGTAACCCTGCCGTGTCCGCTTCTGCTCTGAAACACAGGGTGCCGGGTTGTTCTCTACACGGGTTTTATGTGCACTTTATGCTTGATCACGCAGACTATGAATAAGATGTGCATTCAAAGACCGAGAGTTAATGAATTCATTTACTGCTTCATCAAAAACATTCTTCATTGACATTGGCTTTTACATAAGAACAAAACAAAATTTAAAAACCCTGCAAGTCCAAGAACACAGTAATTACCAACTAGTACAGAGCAGTGTCACTGCTGAGGAAGCAGCAGTTTTACCCATTGCTGTTTTTCCAGCATCGAGGCACGGCAAACAAAGGGGAAAAGCAAACCCTATCTTCTTAATATTGTGAAAATGATTCTGAGCTCACACACCCTCCAAGAAAAGAACTTAGATGAGAAAGAAGTCGTGAAGAGAACCAAGGGAAATAGAAGAAAGAGCTGGGAGGCAAAGGGCATTTATAGAGCTCTAGATAAAGACATGTACATATGCAAATATATGAGGATGGGGAAATAGATCTA